CATGCAAATCAATTTATAACTTTTTGGAAGTGTTTTTTTTTTTTTTTTAATTCTGTCTCTCACTGTTAAAATACACCTACCATTAAAATTACAGACTGGTCATTTGTTTTAAAGGGCAAACCTTCAAGATCAGCAGGGGATCAAATTTTTTTCCCTCACTGTTGGACACTTTGTCAGTAATCAGACTTGACTTAGATTGAATGAACACTGCTCTGAGATCAAGATCAATTGATACCAGATTATCAGTTTCTTTCCTTTTTTGTTCTCTGAAAAATTTGTTTGTTTGATTTGCATGTAAAACAAAGAAAGCATAGGAATAAATAATGGTTTTCTCCTACCAGATGCTGTTGGTTGTGGCACCATTAAGGACATCTGCCATTGCTGGATTTACATAGGGTGTAATGAAGCTTCAGTTAAAGGCCCATTGAAGAGGTCTGTCAATAAAAAAAAAAATAATAATAATAATAATAATTGTATTAATTGTTTTTAATGCTATTCAGATGCTCTTGCTCTATAATGTAAATGCTGTTCAAAGGATCTAAGATATCTGAATAAACTTTTAAAATATATATTTAAATATTAAAATATAAAAACAATATCATATATAAAATAAATCTGAATATAAACACTTATCAACAAAATGTATTTTTTTTTCATAATATTATTTAAAAATGTATCCAAAAATATTAATTTGGAAAGCTGATCTAACAATATTAAATAGGGACCGAAGGCTTCTGTCTTTCCAACAGTATGACATGTCCCAAAAACAATGTGGCATGTATACACATTTTGAATCTCAGCATCACGATATATGGAATTTCATAATGTCCAAATTGTAAGGCTATGCAAAGAATCACACTCATTCTGGTGGCAGCATATGATCTATTCTGTCAATCTAATTTTATTTGGAGCGTGACCTACAAGGCAATAAAAGAACTAACAGCTATGGGTGACCTTAAGTACAGTGCAGTATACATCTGATGCTACAAACTATGAGTTCAACCATGCTATTTTCATTGCAGAATGTGGGGGACCACCAAACAGTCAAGAGAACTGTGATATATGTTTCAAATGTTCTGATAACATTGTCGAGATGAAACATCAAATCCTCACCTTATGAAAGAAATGAACTTATTCCTGTAGCTGCAATTAATTGTAACATGCATCTAAAAAAGATGTATACATTGTTGTGATTTTTACTTTGCTATGTTTTTTTAGAGCTTGAAAATTACACATTTTCTTTTATTTTAATTGGTAAGTTGAGCAGTACAAACAGAAAGATTGGCATTAGCCAACATATATGTACATATACACAAACATTAAAAGATATTATCACTTGTATGGCATATGAACACTAGGTGGCAATACAGTGTAACAAATTGTACCTATTGGTACAAGATGACACAATTTTTAGGGTTTTACATTTATGCACATATTTAATAAAATTGTAAAATAACATTGTCAGAATTGATCAGTTATATAACCAATACACCATGTATTGTTATATAACCCAGATCCATTTATTGGACGGTCAATAAATGGATCTTTTTCCATAAGCTGTATCATCTTTGGGATGCTCTGTGGTTAAAATTAAAGGATCACTATAGTGTCAGGAAAACAAACCCATTTTCCTGACACTATGTTATCCTTGGGGGACCCTCAAAACTCCTCCAGCCACTTACCTTAATCCAGTGCCAGGCTCCCTCGGCGCTAGTGATCTCTCCTTCCCCGCCAACGTCAGTTCCCCAGTTTAGCGGAATGCGCATGCGCGGCAAGAACTGTGCGCACATTCTAACAGTCTATAGGAAAGCATTTCTCAATGCTTTCCTATGGACGTTCTGCACGCTGGATGCGAATTTCGCATCCAGCGTTTCAGGTGCGCCTCTAGCGGCTGTCAGGAAGACAGCCACTAGAGGTTGGATTAACCCTGCAATGTAAACATAGCAGTTTCTCTGAAACTGCTATGTTTACATGTGAAGGGTTAAAACCTGAGGGACCTAGCACCCAGACCACTTCATTGAGCTGAAGTGGTCTGGGTGACCATAGTGTCCCTTTAAAGCACATTAGTGCAGTATGTTTAATAATAATACTTGTGAAATGAATAAACAATGAAAACAAAGATTACTTTATATTTTATAGAGAATTTGAACCGCATTCTGTAACAAATTGGAAAAAAAGAAAACTTCTGAAAAGTGATTCAGTTGTTTTTTACAGTGAAAACACTTCACAAAGGTAACGAACATACAAAGTCTACTCATAAAATACTAGTACAAAAGTACTGAATCCAACAGAACCCGAGTATTATAAATTGACTCTACAATGTTGCAGGATCAACAATACTCCACTAATGGAATAATTGAGATCTTGTTATTCCAAAAATAGCTAGAGAGTGTGGTTAGCCAATAATAAAGAAAGATCCACTAATAAGCAATGCAAAATAATGCACCAGATAAACAATTATAGTGCATTCAGATGGAAAAAAAACAACAAAAATGCATTTTTGAAAACTTTGCTAATTTATTAAAAATAATAAAAAACAGATATCACATTGACATAATTATTTGGACCCTTTGCTATGACACTTGAAGTTTAGCTCAGATGCATCCCATTTCTCTGGGTCATCCTTGAGATGTTTCTACACTTTGATTGGAGTTCACCTTTTTGCAAGCCGTGTCACGGTAACTTCTGGCTCTTACCTGCATAACACTCCCACGGCATCCTGATAGCAGGTTCTCAGGTGTACACGTCTCTTCCCTGCCTCTCTCCCACACAGCTCCTTTCCTTGCTGTCCAACACTGAGCTACATTTGGGTGCCGCCATTCAGATGCCGAACCAGCATGTGGGGAGGATCAGGGAAGGCCAGTGAACAGAGGGGAGGAACTGGGGATTAGCCAAGAAAGCGTTCACTCTCCTAGCCTCCTTTATAGACATTGGTACCTCTGCCTGCAGAGGGCAGGGGGGGAGTCATATGACCTCCACTCACTATAAATAGCCAAGCACTGCACTTCGTCAGTGCTTGGGTTTTACTTGTGCTTTCTCCCAGTCTCCAGGCATTTTTGTCACCTGATCCTGGTCTTTGTCCCTGATTCTGTTCCTGATCCTTGTTCCTGTTTTCCAGTTCCTGATTACCAGTAATACCTCTCAGCGTCTGACCTTTGGCTTTGACCCTAACCATGTTTCTTGTCTCAGACCCTTGGTTTCTGATATCCTGCTCTCTATATAGAAACATAGAATGTGACAGCAGATAAGAACTGTTTGGCCCATCTTGTCTGCCCAATTTTCTAAATACTTACATTAGTCCCTGGCCTTATCATAAATCTTGGATAGCCTTAAACTCCATCAGCGTGTTAACCTCTACCACTTCAGCTGGAAAGTTATTCCATGCGTCCACTACCCTCTCTGTAAAGCAAGCATGTCAAACTCGCGGCCCACAAGGACCATCTTTGCCGCCCGGCGAGCCGCGAGTACATGCTGGTGTTATAGCAGAGTAGGCTTTCCCCACATTGCAGGTGCCTACTCTGCTAAAACTTACCTGGCCGGGGAGGAGGGTCAGCGAGGGAGCTCAGTGTTCCTGCTCCTCACTGCTCCCTCGCGCGCGCCGACTGAAGTGAAGCCGGGCGCCGGAATCTGACGTCATATTCAGGCACCCTGCCTCACTAAACCGCGCGAGAGAGCAGTGAGGAGCAGGAAGGACCCCATGCAGATGCCCCACATCGGCTCCATAAGGTAAGGAGCAATAAAGAAAAGTATGTGTGTGCAAGAATGTGTAAGTGTGTGAGTGTGTGTCTGTCTGTCAGTGAGTATGTGTGTGTCTGTCAGTGTGTCTGTATGTGTGTGTCTGTCAGTGAGAATGTGTGTGTGTCAGTGTGTCTGTATGTGTCAGTCTGTCAGTGTGTGTCTGTCAGTGTGTGTCTGTCAGTGTGTGTCTGTCTGTCTGTCAGTGAGTGTGTGTGTGTGTGTGTGTGTCTGTCAGCAAGTGTGTGTGTCTGTCAGTATGTGTGTGTCTGTCAGTGATTATGTGTGTGTGTCTGTATGTGTGTCTGTCAGTGAGTATGTGCGTGTCTGTCAGTGAGTATGTGTGTCTGTCAGCAAGTATGTGTGTGTCTGTCAGTGAGTATGTGTGTGTCTGTCAGTGAGTATGTGTGTGTGTGTCTATATGTTTGTCTGTGTGCCTGTGTGTCTGCCTGTCAGTGTGTCTGTATGTGTGTGTGTCTGCCTGTCAGTGTGTCTGTATGTGTGTGTGTCTGTCTGTCTATCAGTGAGTGTGTGTGTGTGTGTGTGTGTCTGTCATCAAGTATGTGTGTGTGTCAGTGAGTATGTCTGTCAGTGAGTATGCGTGTGTCTGTCAGTGTGTGTGTCTGTCAGTGTGTCTGTATGTGTGTGTCTCTCAGTGAGTATGTGTGTGTGTCTGTCTATGTGTGTGTCTCTGTCAGTAAGTGTGTGTGTGTGTCTGTCTGTCAGTTAGAATGTGTGTGTGTGTGTCTGTCAGTGAGTATGTGTGTGTCTGTCAGCAAGTATGTGTGTGTATGTCAGTGAGTATGTGTGTATGTGTGTGTGTCTGTCTGAGTATGTGTGTCTCTGTCAGTGAGTGTGTGTGTCTGTGTGTGTCTGTCTTCAGTGTGTGTGTGTGTGTGTCTGTCAGTGAGCATGTGTGTGTCTGTCAGTGAGTATGTGTGTGTGTGTGTCAGTGAGTCTGTATGTGTGTCTGTCAGTGTGTCTGTATGTGTGTGTCTGTCAGTGAATATGTGTGTGTGTCAGCGGGAGGATCATATTTGGCATAGGGTGGTAGAGAGGGGTGCTGTGGTTTAGTAGAGAGGGGCTGGGATTTAGTAGAGGTTGGTGCTGTGGTTTAGTAGAGGGTGTTGCTGGGTTTTTTTATACTGTACTTTTTAAAATAAACCTACGTTTCTATGAAAATTTAAGTTTTTTGTTTTTTTTATTCTTTATTTTCTTTGTGCACTGAAAAGACATATCATGCTTTTTTCGACCACATGTTGATATCTTCCTGGATGTGGTCAGTCAGTGGTACAAGCTGGTAGTATTCACAGCCAGCATGGAGATTTATGGCTCTGCTGTGGCCGATAAACTAGATAACAATAGGGGAGTACTCAGAAGACGTTTTTACAGACAGCACTTAACATTGGAACTGGGCAGTTATATCAAAGATCTGTCTGTTGTACACAGTGATCTCTCCAGCGTGGTTATTCTGGACAACTTGCCTGGAGCATACAGAAGTCACCCAGATAATGCTATTACTATAAAGTCCTGGTTCAGCGATCCCAGTGACACAGCACTACTAAACCTTCTACCAATGCTGGATGCATTAAGGTTCACAGCTGATGTTCGCTTCGTTCTGAGCCGCAATCTCCATCAGCATAGACTATGGTGCCATTCAGCCCCGCCGCCTCCTTCTCTTGGATACCCCCTGTCCCCGCCAGCAGACAGAGACTGTACCCCTTCTACCTCTAGGACATTTACCGTAGAGGAGGGTGATAACCATGAACTGTAAAACCCCTCCCTTCCCCTCTTTTCAGGGGCTGGGGGTGCGTGGGGAGAATGGGGGTCTGGTTTTTAATTGTAGACTTTCTTGTATAAAGAGAATTATTTCAAGAAAAAAAAAATATTTAGAAAATTGGGCAGACTAGATGGGCCAAATGGTTCGTATCTGCCGTCACATTCTATGTTTCTATGTATGTTGAACAAGTTACATAAGCTAGTGTCTGCTGATTGTACATTGCTGGGATTCCCATACCCGTTACTGCTCACGGTAAAAAATGTGATGGCAGGTAGCTGATTTCGTTAGCTTTAGGGCACATGCCACAAATAGAAAAAAGAGAACGCTTAGGATACTTAGGAGGTACATCTAACATTAATCTAGCGTCAATCTATCGTCCATTATTGCCGGGTCGTCTCTTGGTTTAGCAGGTTGTCGGTATCCGGGGGTTCTTCACCCTACTCCCTGTCTGGGCATTGCATCACAGTGGCTAATAAGTCCTCCAGGGGGAGATCTGTATTGTCTCGTGCATGAGGTACCCCTTGGCTCACCGGTTGCTGCTCGAGGTCCTGTAAGTGGTTGCTTCCATCCCTTTAGGGTTGTGGTCTCCTGTGGTGGGAAATTGTGCCCAGGTGCTTTTCCCAGTTGGGGCCGTGATACAGGGCGGTTGCTGGGTCGGGCCCGGTGGGTTCTACAGTGCCGTGTTTGTGTACGTGGGCTCTGTTTTTTCTCCCCTAGTGGCAATGCCGCTCCAGAGCTTTGCTTAGAAGTCACGGTCTGCTCTGTGGTGAGTGGCAAGGGAAGTTCTGGCTGGGCTCCATCAGGATTGTGTTGGCGTGCAGCTATTGTGGCCCAAAAGTTTGTGAGTAAAGTGTCAAGCTTCTCCTGCAGGGTCAGTCGCTTAGGTTGAGGCAATGGGCTGCACGAGGCGTCCGCCATCTTGGATTTGACGGGTGGGTAGATCCGAGTGTATACTAGTAGGAACTTCGCTAGTGAGACACTGCTGAGGTTTGCCAGGATAACCCCACCAGCCTGAGGGGGGGGGGGAGAAGGTGCAAGACGGTCCTCCCGGGTGAGTGCTCGATTGCAGGCTGAGGGATCGGCCGCCTCCCTCTCGTGCACTGCTGTTAGGCCTTTTGCAGGCCTCAGACTCTCCTCCGGGGTTTCCCACTGTTCACGGACGGGCACACCACAGGGTTCCAAGTTGAGGATTCCTCCCAAGGTTGTGGTGTCGAGGGGTCATCATAGATTTAGGTCGCTGAATTGCTTTTATTTCTCCTTTAGGAGCCCGTTTGTGCAGAGCTCTCAGTGTGTGCGACCGCTCCGTGCGGCTGCCACGCTCCGCCCCAAGGTATTTTCTTTTTTGCGGCCCACATATACTTGGGGATTTAGGCCAGAGCGCAGGTAACGTTTTCTTTGTTTTTACTATGTATTTTAAGCTGTTGGATACTAAGCCACTGCTGCTGTAAGCGCGGTGCTTTATCTTTGTGTTCACATATACTTAAACCTAGTTTATGTGGCCTGATCCAGACTTTGAGTTTCACATACTTGCTGTAAAGTAATACTTCCTGAACTTATTTTTAAACCTTTGAACTTCTAATCTAACATTATGTCCTCTTGTTGTGGATCTTATTTGTGGATCTCCTAGCTTCTGATCTTCGGCTTGACTCTTGATCTTGTTCCTGTGCTGCCAGCCCTGGCGATTGGACCCCTGACACCGCTTCCTGCCTGCTTCTTCCAGGTTTCTTTGCTATCTCTGTAAATAAAGGCACCAGTGCCCTCATAGATCTTAGGTTCCTGTATCACTCTTAGGCACCTGGGAAGGTTGTGTTAGCAGCAGTTCCTCTCCAAACAAACCAACCAACCAGTAAGTTGTCTCAAGAGGTATACACTGATCAGCCACAACATAAAAACCATTAACAGGTGAAATTAATAACATTGCTTATATCATTATAATGGCACCTGTCAAGTGGTGGGATATATTAGGCAGCAAGTGAACAGTCAGTTTTTGAATATTATGTAATGCATGTCGTGAGCAAAGGCTATCCAATCTGATCTAAACACACAGTAGAGCTGTCTGAAAATTGCTGAAAAACATAATTGCTTGCCATAATAGAAAGGTGTCAGCTGTTTGCTGCACATGGGGCTGCATAGCCGCCGACTGGTCAGAGTACCCATAATGACCCCTGTCCACTGCCGAAAGCACCTTCAATGGTGATGTGAGCGTCAGGACTGGACCAGAAGAAGAAGGTTACCTAATTTGATGAATCACATTTTCTTTTAGATTAGGTGGATGGCTGGCTGCATGTCAGGATTATAGCTGATCCAGCATGCAGAATTGTATCATATCCTTGAACTACGGATAACGTCTTACCGGACGTTAGAATAGCCGGACTACTACTCTAGTGTCACGATTCGGGGAACCCAACACGCTGGCACACACACACACACACACACACACAAAAGGTGCCGTACCGGACCTTAGAGTGGCTGGGCTAAGCACACACAGAATAGTCAGGAGACAAGCCGAGTAAAGGGGAACCAGAAGACAGAATAACGTGAAACGAGCCGAGGTCAAAGGGTAGGAGAAAGTCACAGAGTCAGATAAACAAGCCAGAGAGTACGTAACCAGAAACACAAGGTAAGTAGCAATACTAGCAAGCAAAGACCACAACAGGGCAGGGAGGAACAGGAAAGGTAAGTATTTAAACCATCAGGTTAATTCTGATTGGATAATTTCCAATCAGAATTAACAATCACACGTGGGAGATATTTAGACCTCCCACTGTGATTGAGGCACTGTGCCTTTAACGCCGGGTCAGGTGACTGACCCCGGCGTGTATAAACCTGGGCGGTCTCCCAGCGTGCAGCGTCATGCATGCTGCCACTGGGGGACGTGGAGGGAACGGCGGGCGGCATCCGAGGCTGGAAGGATGCCGCTCGCCGTACCCACGAGGCGGAGGGGACCGCGGACGGCTGGAGGGTGAGTACTGCGAGCGGAGTGCAGCCTCCCCTCGCAGCCGCCCGCGGGAGCCTGACATTACCCCCCCCTCGAAGACCGCCCAGGGGGCGGGAAGCGGAAGGCTTCAAAGGAAAGCGGGCATGAAAGGAGCGGACCAAAGAGGGAGCGTGCACATCGGAGCTTGAAACCCAGGACCGCTCCTCAGGGCCGTACCCCTTCCAGTCCACCAAATATTGCAGCCGACCCCTAGAAACACGAGAGTCGAGAAGGGCAGCCACCTCGTACACGTCGTCAGAGACAGCTCGAGGGGAAACGGGCCGCCCGAGGGGACGAGAGAACCGGTTACACAGCAAGGGCTTCAAAAGCGAGACGTGAAACGTGTTCGGGACACGCATGGAAGGAGGCAGATCAAGGGAGTAGGAAACGGGGTTAACCCTACGTAACACCTTGAAGGGACCAAGAAACCTGGGGGCAAATTTCATCGAGGGAACCTTGAGACGGAGGTTCCGGGAGGACAACCATACCCTATCACCCGGAAGATAAGAAGGGGCCGCAACCCTACGGCGATCAGCAAACTTTTTCTGAGCAGCTGCTGAACGAGACAGCGCAACATGGACCTGATCCCACGTCTTCCGCAAAGAGGCGAGGTGCTGGTCCAAGGCGGGCATTCCCTTGTCGGAGAACGCACCGGGAAGGACAGAAGGACGAAACCCATAAGCAACCTCAAAAGGACTTAAGCCAGTAGACGAATGAGACACCGTATTCCTGGCAAATTCAGCCCACGGAAGAAGGCGAGACCAGTCATCCTGGTGCGCATTAGTGAAGCAGCGCAAATACAATTCCACAGACTGATTAGCACGTTCGGCCGCACCATTAGATTGCGGGTGATAGGAGGAAGAGAACGACAAGGAGACCCCCATCTCAGCACAAAAGCCCCTCCAGAACCGAGAGACAAATTGAGGGCCCCTGTCAGATACGATATCCTGGGGTACCCCATGCAATCGGAACACTTCTTTGGCAAATACCTGAGCTAACTGAACCGCAGAAGGCAGTTTCTTAAGCGGAATGAAGTGCGCCATTTTAGAGAACCTATCCGTCACAGTCAGTATCACCGTCTGACCATCAGAAAGAGGCAGGTCTACAATGAAATCCATGGATAAGTGGGTCCATGGTTTCTTGGGTATAGATAGAGGCATCAGAAAACCCTGGGGTCTCACATTAAGGGACTTACATTGCGTGCAGACCTGACAAGCCTGAACAAAATCCACTACGTCTCGCTTGAGTGAAGGCCACCAGAACTGTTGAAGGAGGCCCTTGTAGGTTTTGGTAACCCCCGGATGACCAGCAGTTTTGGCTGTGTGAAATAAAGTTAACAACTTTTTTCTGTCATTAGCTTCAACGTATAGTTTACCAACCGGCGTCTCAGGGGGTGCCTGGGTTTGGTATGTCTTAATACTATTAAGGAAAGGTGAAGAAACAACCAAACAGGTAGCAGCTATTATCTGAGACCCAGGTACAATAGGTTCAGGAGTCGGGTTAACAAATTCTACTGGTTCATGCTGCCGAGAGATAGCGTCAGCTTTGGCATTACGGCAACCAGGTCTATAGGTGATAACATATTGGAAGCGTGAGAGAAATAGAGACCATCTAGCCTGCCGGGCAGATAACCTTCTAGCATCAGCAATATAGGATAGATTCTTATGATCTGTTATAACCATAATTTTGTGTCTAGAACCCTCTAATAAGTACCTCCATTCCTTGAAAGCTAACACAATAGCTAATAGTTCCCTGTTCCCAACATCGTAATTCTTCTCTGAATCAGACAACCTTTTAGAAAAATAACAACAGGGATGGAGGGGTTTGTCATAAGACAACCTCTGTGACAGTACGGCTCCCACACCTGACTCTGAGGCGTCTACTTCCATAACAAAGGGAAGAGAAGGATCAGGGTGGTGCAGCACTGGAGCAGAGGCAAATGCCTTCTTGAGGGTTTCGAAGGCCTTAAGGGCTTCAGGAGTCCAAACCCTAGGGTGTAGACCTTTTTTTGTCAACTTCGTTATGGGAGATATGAGTGGTGAAAAGTTTTTTATAAATTTCCTATAATAG